TCACGTTTTCGAGTTGGGGCAGGGTTGTCTAAGGATAATGGACGAGGAGAGTCTGCTCCATTGAGCCTGCCTCGGCTCAAAGCTTGACAGATGGGTAGTTCCCATAATTAAAGGGGTTTAGGGTTCAGGGTTTAGGGTTTAGGTCCCATTTTGGTACCCCTAAATATTAGGTGCCGCAAAATATTCTAGACCCAAAGGGGCCCATAATTGTGAGAACAACCCAGATGGATACCTAGACCCTCAAATGTAGTACCTTTTTGGTAGTCCTAATAAGAATCCTAACCAAAAAAATATACCAAACCCAAAAAGGAACTACATTGGAGGGTCGAGGTAGGGCTTAGGGTTCAAATAATCTAGACCCTAAACCCTACACCCTAAACCCCATTATTTTGAGAACAACCCAGATGGGTAGGGATGGCCACTGCGGTGCCTCCAGGTTGGGTTCAGATTGATCCGCGCCTGGTCGGCATTTTGTTGCGTGAAATTCTTGCGTCCAGTGGAGCTATAGTCTAAACTCCTTAAAGGGGGTATATTGGGGATTATATAGGGGACTACGAAATGGGGTTATTAAGGGGGATACTAGGAGTTGAGACTATAGTCCAGTTGAATGCAGGCATCTTTCGAAGAAATAACGCACCGCCCTCCAAGGACGTCTTCTTGGGAAAGCTGTCAAGGGTGGCTTGGCCTGGTTCAGGAAGTGGAGCTTAATGTAATCCGTGCATATGGCGCATCTTGGGTATATCGGGGATTTAGGAGTTCGGGTATGGACAAAAAGGAGTTCGGGTATCATGGGATAATCAAACGGAAAAGGAAATGAGAACTGAAATGAAATGGAAGCTGGTGTTATCTGGGGTCTTCTCCTTGCCTCGAGAATCAAGATTCGAGACGGACCGCAGGCTAGATGCGAAGCAGCCGCGAGTTCCTCGGCAGCAAGTTGAGGGAACCTGCATGTTTGCGTCTGGGTGCACTCTCTCTGCCTGACAGGCTCAGCTCCACCGCCAAGCGACTAGCAACAGCCTCGCAGATGCTTTCGAGCAGCTGGAAGATGAACACGGTGAGGGCCAGGGAGAAGGCGATGAGCAAGATCCGAAGGACAGCCAGGATGTTCGCAGGATGGCTCTCGGCTCATCATCGACTCTGGACCTCCTTCACGCATCGTGACAGACTTTGGTAAAGAGTCAGGCACATGCAGTCCTTCCAATGCCGCACATTAGGGCGTGCATGGGTGTGCAATGTCCGCCTTAAGATCCTTCGTCTGCTGCTGAGGAGCAGGCAACACAGATGATAGCTGGCAAGGAGCCAGAGGAATCTAAGCCGCAGGCATCTTGGCCTTGGTGATGAGCTCCGCCACAGCATGCGCTCCTACAAGTGTCCTGTGGTGTGCCAGTGTGCCAGCTAAGGTTCCCGTTGTCGATAGGACATGGTTCGTGCTGTTCATGGGCGTAGTGGTGTCTCGGCTGAGGGTTCTTCTGCGGTATTTTTTTGACAGCTTTTGGGATTGTGGTTTCAATCCCTCGCTGCTTCTGCATTGCACAGAGGTGTTAGTGAACGCTGTCACCATCGGCGTCTTGGCAGCAAAGTTTTACGCTGCTGTGTGTTGCTACTTCCGGTTTTCATCAGACAAACATCTCACACTATAATCCGTTTTCTTATTGCCATTATTTAGTTCCTACTAGTACTATTACTACTAGTACTGTAAACTATCATTAGACGATTGCTACTGCAAGTAGCCTGGTGTGCACAAGGACTGGAGGTTGACCTTGTGCGAACTTGGCCGATCTTCTTCATTGCGCCTGAGCTCTGCATGAAACTTTCCGAAGGGGTTTAGGGTTTATTCAGGGTTTAGTGCTACTTGAAGGGTCAGGGGGACTTAGTAAGTAGGTTAATCCCTTCCCCCTAATAATA